GTACCCCCCCCCCCCCCGTAGGGATCCTAACTCACGACCTCTGCATCTAGCGGTTTACGAGGATACCACTAGACCACCGGGGCGACCGGTTGGCTGTATGTACTGCGTGCTGAACAATAACTCTTGATTTTTCCAATGTTGTTAGTTGTTGTTGTTGTCTGCAGAAAAGGTTGGCAACATGAGAGAAGACTCACCATGCATGAGAATTCCTTGAGTGCATATGTTGGAGCCATTACAGCATTACAGTGAGGATGGGGTGGCACCTACTGCACACACCGGACTTGCTTGTTGCGCCCCCCCCCCCCCCCCCCCCCNCCCCCCCCCCCCCCCCCCCCTCGCTTGGAGCGCGTCAGAGAATATTGGACGGCAGCACACAAGAAGGGTCCAGTCTCAACTTTTCGAGAATTCACCTGAAACAGGGGAAGACCCTAAACCATTGCGGTATTAACTCCTGTGCTATCATCGCAGCCGCCCCTTATTTTGTTTGCTCTCTGTCAGACTTCGTCAGCTCCACTAGACTCGTCACAATTGATGCTGTACTAGAAGGGTGTCTTTGTCCTGCCTAATGGAGAATCTCCCTCCACTGACATTCATTTTTGTGGATGGAATCAGTTTTTCTGCGTGTTAAGCGTATAATTAATTATTGTGTATTGAGCTGTTGACGGTTCTGATGGATCGAATGCCTCAACATTGATATTCGCGTCAAGGTAGTCTAGATTGTTTTTGAAAACATTCATGGGGCTATAGGTTAGGGAGGCAGAGATACTACTGGTAAACTTGACAGAGGGAGAGTGCCTTCCCAATGACTTCAACCACTACTACTATGCTATGCTATAGACGATTGATAAATTTGGGGACGGCAACAAGAATTCAACAAAACGCAAATCGACACCGGCGTAGCAACAGCAACGTTGTTTTTTCGGCATGTTTTTAGCCGGGATTACGTGCGAAAAACCTGCTGCGTACACGCAATGTTTTTCGACGTTTTTTCGTCCTCGATAGACTTTCTTCAAGAGAAAAAACTACAGCAAGACTTAGGATGACCGACAAACAAACCGGCGTCGTTATTTTGCTGTTTCCTATCTTGTTCGTTGAACACGTTGCATAGACTACATATATTGATGTGGCGAGAACGGTAAGGTGGCAATTTTGTCCTCAGGTGTCGAAGTTTCAAAGGAATCGACGCCGTCGGAGTACGGAAGCGTCAATACATCCTACTACTGCTGTACAGCAGTGTAGTCGCAATGTTATCCTCGTCTCGCCTACTGTACGTACGTAAGATACCGCACCCCCTGGTCAGGCGGCCAAACCTCCATTTTACACTGCGGCACACACATAGTGACAGTGCCGAAGAGTACCAGCGTTGAAACCACCTCATTGAGAGCCTTCCGACAAGCCATAATTTGGCTTTGGGATACTCTTCGTCGCGGAGTAGTCAAGCTTTAAACAACGGCCGGGTGTGGTATCTTACGCAACCAATGGCATCCCGGCAAGAAGTAGCAACCCCGCCCCCCCC